GCTTTTTCTTGCAGAGTGTGGACCTCCCACCACTAGAGGGTTTTTTTTTTTCTCTTTCTGTTTTTTCCAGATATAGTGTTATTGTAGCTATTGAGAGTGAAAAACAAGGAAAAACATGAACTTAGAGAATCAAGAAACTCTGAGTCTTGGACATTCTGAGGACAGGAAATGGAGTCTCCGGTAAGGGACACTTTTGGCTTCTTTTACAAGCTAGGGAAAGAAATGAGGTGGATTCTTTCTAAGCACATTGCCTGCCAGTCCCAGAGATTCTTCTGTCTGTGCCAAGGTCCAGATGACTCTGATCATGTCCATCCACACTGACACATAGTTGTTAATTCAGTGGGTTTCCTACCTTTAAAACCAGCAGTTGGGAGGCAGAGGCAGGCAGATCTCTGAGTTTGAGGTCAGTCAGGGCTACATAGTAAGACCCTGTCTAAAAAACAAGCAAGCAAAATAACAAAACACCTCTTACAGGTAGTGATAAATCTAATTTCTTTCATTATCGCCTGCCTACTTTTGTACAGAACAGGAGAGCAATTTGCTTTGTTTTGTTTTTAAATTTTTTGATGTGTACAAGTGTTTGCCTGCATGTATGTTAGCACACAAAGCGAATGCAGTGCCCTCACAGGCCAGATCAGATCCCCTGTAACTAGCGTTATGGACCGTTGTTAGCCACCCTGTGGCTGATGGGGACTGAACCTGGGTCCTCTGCAAGAGCAGACAGTCCACTTAGCTGCTGAGCCATCTCTCCAACCCGTTTTGTTTTCTTTTTGAAATAGAGTTTGATGTAACCCAGGCTGGCCTCTATGTAGCTGAGAGTGACCTAGAACTTCTATTTATTGTATAAGTGTGTGTTTGGATATGTGTGTCCAAATGTCATAGTGCATGTGTGACTGTCAGAGGAACTCAGGTCATCAGGTTTGGCAGCAAGAAACTTTAGGGGATGAGCTGCCATCTTGATGGTCTGACTTTGAACTTCTGATCCTCCTGCCTTTACCTCCTAACTGATGGGATTACAGGTGTTCCACCACACCCTGATTATAGGACCCAGGGATTTATGCCTGCTAGGCAGGCACTGAACCAACCAAGCTATAGCCCCATCTTAAAAACAAATTAAGTTTTCGATCCTTTCGAGACAGGGTTTCCCTATAGCCCCAGCAGGCCTAGAACTTGCTATGTAGACCAGGCTGGCTTTGAACTAATAGATCTGACTCCCTCTGCCTCCTGAGTGCTGGGACTAAAGGGGAGTGCCCACACCGAGTTTAAGAGCAAATTTTAATAAATCCAGAATCATATCCTACCTCAGTTTTCAGTTTACTCCAAAAGTTGGATGGCAGCTGATTGTGTCTCTGGACTCCAAACAGGTTAGATCAAAATGGGCTGTTCCTAGTCAATGCTCAGTTTGGAACTTGCTATGTAAGCCAAGCTGGCCTTGAACTCACAGACATCTGCCTGGGTGTGCCTCCCGAGTGCTGGGATTAAAGGTGTGCACCGTCACGCCTGGCAAATGATACAATTCTAACTCTTAACTCAGAACAAATCTCTTTCACCTTGGACTGTCCCCCTTCTCAGTACCTGCCCTCCTACCTTCCCTGCTGGCTGGACAGACTTCGAATGCATGGATTTCAATGTTAGAGCATCTAAAGGGGTCTGTAGCTCAAGGAGTCCTCTTTGCCTCAGCTTCCTGGGTAGCTGATACTACAGGGTCATACCCACACCTGCCTGCACACGTCCCCGTTTTCTCTCCTTTCATTTCCCCTTTCCCTTCACTCTCCCTTTCGTGTCCCTTCCCTTCCTCCTTCCTTTCCTGTCTTTCCCTTTGATTTCACTTTGATTTTTGTTTGAGACAATGATCTCACTAAGTTCACCAGTTGGGCCTCCTACTTGCCCATCCTCCTGACTCAGTCTTTCTAATGCTAAGATTACAATCTGTATACCAACACCAAGCTCAGAATTTTGGGTGTGATTCTAGAGACAAAATCTAGGGCCGTGCATATGCTAAGTGATCTGTCATTGAGCTATATCCCCAGTCCTCTCTATATTTTGAAACAGGGTATCACCGAGTTTCCCAGGATAGCTTTGAACCTTGGATCTGTTTACCTTGTTCTGGCAAGTACGTGGAATTTACAGACCAACATCACCAGGCCTGGCAGGATTTTGTATTTTGAGACAGTTTCACTAAGTTCTCAATTTGGGCCTTGAGGGTATCATCCTTTTGCCTCGGCCTATCCACTAGCTGCCTAGGCTTACAGGCATTCACCACCGTACCAGCCTCACCCTTCTTTTCTTCCTTCCTTCGTTTGTGAGACATGGTGTCTTATATTCCAGGCGGTTCTCAAACTATGTAGTCAAACATGACCTGATCTTCTGATCCCCCTGCCTCCAACTTAGTGCTGAGGTTCCGGGTGTATGCCATCATGTACAGTCTGCCTTCATAGATCTCTATCTTATTTTTTGAGACCAAGTTTCTTATTGAACCTGGGGCTTGGCAATTTAGCTACACTAACTGACCAGCAAACACCAAGGATTCCCCTGTGTCCCCAGCACTGGTATTGCAGGTGTGTGCAACCACAGCCAGCGTTTTATGTGAATATGGAAGATCCAAATTCAAATCCTCATGCTGGCAAAGCAAGCAATTATCAACTGGGCAATCTCCCTGGCCCTGATTTTTCTGATACTATTTATCATAACATGTCTGAGGCGTGACATCTCATTGTTGGCTTGGTGTATGTTTCCTGGTGGTTAGGGATGGCGGAGCCTCTTTTCCTGTACCAGTTGATCACTCGTATGTTTTCTTTTTATCTCCCCCCTGCAGCTCATTTGGAAGCGCACGTTCACTGGTGTTCTCTCATACACATAAGTACCCTCCTTGAATCTATCCATTGGACCACCTCAGGATGCTACATCCTGTCAGGAATCTGTAGTAAAGGCCAGCACCAGAGGTAACCCCTCACCACCTCATTCTACAAACTGTTGTCTTTGCATGAGAGCAAACCTTGCATTCTCACAGCTCAATGTCTTCCCCAGCTGTCTGACGCCAGACACTACAGACAAAAAGGACAGAGGTACCAGCAACAGAGACACCATTGTGATCCCATTTCAGTGAAGGTAATTGGCCAGTTTCATTTTTATTGCTATCATAGACTACCCTGACAAAAAGCAACTCAGCAGAGAAAGACCTTGTAGCTCACAATGGCAGGTTACAGTTCACCACTGGGGAAGCTACAGAGGCTGGAACTCGAGCCAGTTGGTCATATTGTATCCACAATCAGGACCAGAACGACTATTTATTGATTAATTTTAATTGACAAAATTATGAGTATTAAAAGAATATAAGTAATTTACCATACTCTTTTACTTACTGCCTAAAGAGAAGAATAAATGAAAAATTATTAGGTAAGACCTTACATAAAACATTATAATACATTTCTTTTTTAAAAAGTTATTTTATTTTATATGTAGTGTATTGCCTGCATGTATGTAAGTGCACTGTCATGCGATGCCCGTGGAGTCAGAAGGCGGTGTTCGTGTTCTTAACCTCTTAGCAATCTCTTCAGCCCCTGACAAATACAATTCTAAGTCATAATGTATGTGTATGATTTTTTTTTTATTTTAGGTTACCTGTGTTTGATTTGAAAGAAATAATGACTCATCTAAAGATACACAGTTCCGTCCAAATCTGGACCGAGAAAACTGGGATGTCCGAGATGAAAGAAGCATTCATTGAAACGGTCCAAGGAGAAAAGGGACATAATCTAGTCGTTTCATTCAAATTTGGAGAAATGAGGATTTTTCCGCTGAGTAATAACATTTCAAGCGTAGTGGTTAGATACCGCGGAGAGGGAACACACTGCCTGCGCTTGACTTTGAAAAACAATACTTGCTTATTGATTGAAAAATTATCATACATAGACATTGAACAGTTGAAGTCATTCCTGGATGGTTTTCATCCAAACAGATTTCAACCATTCATGGAACCCAAGAGTAATCGGAATGCTCTTGAAATCAGAAATACATACAACATAGGTAACAAAATTGTATTCTCCAAAACAAATGACAAGTCAGTGTATGGGCCCTTCAACACCACAAAGGAAAGTGAAACACTTGTCCCTCAGAAGATGCCCTTCTTTGAGTCAAACCCACCAGCCAATCCTGTTAAGAGAGAAAGGACAGGTGAGAAGAAGATGGTGTTGTCATCCAGTTTAGAAATGAATGGGGACATCCGGCAAGAACACAACCATGGACTACAAAGGAAATCCAAGAGACAGCGCTCAAAAGGTAAAAACCTAAGAGAGAAATCCATGACTTTAAGGAGTCAGGAGAGTCACAGAAATTTGAAGCCTGGACCTTCCTTCAATCCCTGCTCACAGGGAAAGCCTGACCTAGAGGAGACTGTTCCAACCCACACTCTCTCTGATGCAGTAAGTTGGGTACTTCAGTATGAATCAAACCCTTGCCAGGAAATCCCAGTATGTAACACTGGTGCCCAAGATCCCCTGGACATGCATCAAAGAGAACCTCAACATACAGGCTTCCCCAATTTGGGAAACACCTGTTACATGAATGCAATTTTGCAGTCCCTCTATGCAATTCCATCATTTGCAGATGACTTACTTAAACAGGGTATTCCGTGGGAGGAAATTTCTCCAGATGATTTTATCTTACCCTTCAGCCAGCTTCTTGTTTTGAAAGATATATGTGAGGTAAAGATCAAGGCAGAATTACTCCTACAGGTGAAGAATTCCATTTCAGAAGTTTCAGATACATTCCTGGGCAACATGCAAAATGATGCTCATGAATTTCTAGGTCAGTGTTTTGAAGAGCTGAAAGAGAACATGGAAAAACTGAATGCCATCTGCAATACCCAGAGGGAAACTGAGGTTGAAGTGCCATCTCCAAGGATGAGTGCTGGTACTTCTGGGAACAAAGGGTTTGTTTGCCCTGTTCTTACTAATTTTCAGTTTGAGTTGAATATCTCCATTATTTGTGAAGCCTGTGGTAAAGTCACTCCTAAGACAGAAGTGAATAATTACCTCTCCATCAACCTGCAGCAAGAAACACAATTGCACCTCCTTTCAATTCAAAATATCTTTGATCTCTACTTTGTACCAGAACAAGTTGAACATAACTGTGTGGAGTGTAAGAACAAGACTTCTATCTTCATCTCCAAGCTGAGCAGGCTCCCCAGGGTCCTCACTGTACATCTGAAGCGCTATAGCTTTGATCATAATTGGTTACTAGTGAAGAATGAGCAGCCGGTGGAGATTTCCAAGTATCTGAGTATATCAGACCACTGCAGTGGACACACGAGACCACCAATTCCCTTGGCCAACAGCCCACTTGCTGGAGACAATGTACCAGGTGTGAATGCCGAATTACGAGACTCCCAGAGACTGTGTGAAAGAGCAAACAAAGAGCAGCAGCAGAGAGAGCCGGACAGTGATTCCGATCTGGAACAGGAACTGGTAAACACAGGAGACAAGATAATTTTACTGACTAAAAAGACCTTGGCAGCCTCTGACTCAGTGATGGACGAGGAAGACATCTTCCTTCCTGTGATCCCACACCCAGGACTTGCAGATATAGGTCTTCAAAAAGTACCTGAACATCCAGAACTTAAGAAATACAAAAACACATCTACATCTAGAGATAGTAGATGTACATCTAGAGGCAGTCGTCAGACTACCACTGAAAGGAAAAACACGGTCGTTGATGTCAATGATCCAAACAATGTGAAGACAGGAGATGATGCTTACAATTATAGACTCATCAGTGTCATCAGTCATGTTGGGAGCTCCAAAAATGTTGGTCATTACATCAGCGATGTGTATGACTTTCAAGATCAAATGTGGCTAACCTATGATGACTTACAGGTGACATCAGTTCTAGAATCCTTCATGCGACAGTCCAGGATCAGCTCTGGCTACATTTTCTTTTACATGCAGAATGAGATTTTTGAGGCGCTGTCGAAAAAGACAGCAGATTCCATTCCAAGAGAGGAAAATTCCCTTCTCAGAATGGCCTGATGACTTTTCATTACAGACAGATAATTCTGAGCCCTGCGCAGCTCATGATGAAAATTCGACAGATAAGGAGGACAGAAACTCAGGGAATGCACCATCCTCCTCCAAGGCTACCATGGTGCTTCCCATGTTTTTTATTTTTAATCTTTTCATGGATGTTTATTGGTAAAGATTTATCAATTTGAGATATTTCCTAAGCGCTTACTAGGGGGATTTGAGAGATGGCCCAGTGAATGAGAGCAGGTACTGGTCCTGCAGTTTCCAGGATGCGGGTTCAGTTTCTGGTACCCATGTTTGGGCAGCTCACAGCAGCAGCCTGTAACTCCAGCTCTGAGGGATCCAATGTCCTTTTCTGAACGTAACAGGCTCTGCAACCACTCATGTACATAACCACACACAGACACACGTGTACACATAATTCTTTTTCTTTGGTCTTGAGACAGGGTCTCCCTGTAGCCACAGCTGGCCTGAACTTGCTACGTACACCAGACTGGTTTTGAACTCCAGGGATTCGCCTGCCTCTGCCTCCCGGGTGCTGGGATTAAAGGTACACGCCTGGTGTACACATAATTTTTAAAAATTAAAAAATAGTGCCTGGTATGGTGGCGTGTGTCTTTAATCCCAGCACTCAGGAGGCAGGTGGATCTCTGAGATTGAGGCTAGCCTGGTCTACATGGCAAGTTCCAGGCCATTTGTGAGTATAAGGAGACCCTGTCTCAAAAAAATTTTAAAACAGAAAAAAACTAAGTAGGGTTACATATTAAGCCTACACATGGAATTCCTTTTTAGTATATATTTCATACACCAGTACAATGAATATCATGCCTAATCCTCCCCTCCAACTCTTCCCAGACTGAGCCCCCCACCCACGTACACCTCCCAACTTCATGTCCTTTCCTTTTCATGTATTAACATGATTTTTATTTTTAAAAATTTTTATTCCATGTGTATGTGTAAGTGCATCACATGTGTATGAAACCCACAGAGGCCAGAAGAGGGCAATGGAGTTAACCATGTGGGTGTTGGGCAATGAACCCAGTCCTCTGAAAGAGAAGCAAGTGCTCTTAACCACCAAGTCGTCTCTTCAACCCCCGTGATTTTTTTTTAATATGGAACACTTTGTGAATTTGCGTGTCATCCATGGGCAGACACTATGCTTATCTTCTGTACTGTGCCAATTTTAGTGTATGTGCTGCCCTCGAAAGCACAATGTGATGGTTTTTTAAAACGTCATTCTGAACCAGCAACACAAGGGACTAATCCTAAATTTTGGGTAAGGCATCAGAACGACAGATTCAGAAACTGTTGCTGGCACTAAATGTTTGAGAAACTTTCCTGTGTGGGATAACTTGTTTTGTTTTGCTATTGTGTGTGTAAATTGCTGTTGTTTTCTTCCTGAGTGCTGGGGCTAAAGGCCTGCCCCACCATACCCAGCTGCTTTTCTTATCTAAAGGATTTTCATTACAGCTTTTTATAGCCTTAAAATCATGTATCCTATTCTTTTGTCAACTTATTAAAACCATTGAGTGGCTTCTCTCTGTGCCTGTGACTCGTATCTGTCTCTAAATGAATTTGCGTGTCTAAGAATTACAGGACATAATATAAGATTTACATGGGCATTGAAATGTATTTGATAATGGTATTTTTGCAAATTCAAAAGCACTCTGGTAAGGGCTGGCTGGCTTAGTGGGTAAAAGTGCTTGCCACCGGCGGATCTCTGTAAGTTCCAGGCCAGCTGGGGCTACAGGGAGACCCTGTCTCAAAAAGACAAAAAAAAAAAAAAAAGTGCTTACCACTGAGCTTGATGACTCTGAGATGCCCACAGACACATGGAGAATAAATAAATATATAATAATTTTTAACACTGACATGCTAATTCAAATACAAAGTCACAGTCAAGGGTCTGGAGAGATAGTCCAGTGGGTAAGAACACTTGCTGGGCAAGCATGAGGACCCAAGTTCAAATCCCCAGCACCCTCATCATGGCTGCACAGGCCTGTATCTACACCTGTTCATAGGATTGCAAACATCATACTACATAAAACTCCAATTTCAGGGGCTGGAGAGATGGCTCAGCAGCTAAGAGAACTGTCTTTTCTTGCAGAGGACCTGGGTTTGGTTCTAGCAAAACCCCATGGCAGCTAACAACTGTCCATAACTCCCCAGTTCCAGGGGATCCAATGTCTGCTGACTTTCATGGGCATTGCAGGGCATGGGCACACTGACATACATGCAGGCAATACACTAATACACATAAACTAAAATTAATAAAAATATTTTAAGATGTCCACCTTCAAAAGGATACAGCATAGCCTTGTTAAGGACTTGTGTTTGATTCCAAGCACCCACATGGTGGCTCAAAACTAGGTATGACTTCAGTTCCTGTGACTCTGATGACCCCTTTTGGCCCCTGAGGTTACCAGGCAGGAACTCAGGGCACATACATACATGTAGGCACTCATATATACATACACATAAAATAAAAAGACCTGGGAATGTACTGAGTGGTAGCTCTTGCCTAGTCTGTTCAAGGCCTAGCTCTTGATCCCTGCAGATGCTCCTGGAGGTTGGGGGAATCCATAATTTCACTTGATATTGCTGTATTTTCCCTAGTAAGGCATATACAATGACATGACATTTGTTCATGTGTATAAGCAAGGTGGATCCGTATGTTCATTCATATAAACTGATGATGATTGTCATGAGCTTAGAGCCAATTACTGCACTTAAAATGCACATTATCTTCAGTATCCAAAAACTTCCTTCACACTCAGTTCACCTTGTGTGTGTGTGTGTGTGTGTGCTCATACATGAGCAGATACAACTTGTGTGGGTGCGTGCATGTGCCTATGTGTGTGTGTAGGGCAGACATCCAGGTTGGGCATCTTCCCCTACATCTCCCCACCTTATCTTTTTTTTTTTTATGTGTATGCATGTATTGTCTGCATGTAAAGTGCACCCATGTCATGCAATGCCCATGGAGGTCATAAGAGGCTGTCCCCTAGGACTGGAGTTACCGACAGTTGTTAGCTGCCGTGTGAGTAGTGGAATTCGAGCCTGGGTCTTCTGCAACAACAGTGTTCTTAACCACTGAGCCATCTCTCCAGCCCGCCCCCCACCTTATCTTTTTGAGATGGGGTCTTGCACTGAACCTAGAGCTCATTGATTCAACTAGACAGGCTAGCCAGCAGCCCCAAGATCCGCTAGTCCCTCCTTCCCTAGCTCTGGGATCACAGGAGCCCACCTCTGCATCCAACTTTTCATATAGGTGCTGGGGGTCAAGCTCTGGTTCTTATGCGTATATGGTGAGCACTTTACCTTGCTCCAGTCCAATGACCACCTATTTTAACCATGTGAGGGGCAGATGTAAGCTTAACCAGATGTTGCAGTCCACGCAGATAATCCCAGCACTCACAAGACATGTTCCAGGCTAACTTGGGTACGTGAGACTCTGTCAACCACTGCACCCCAACCCCCCAAAAGACCGAATAACTGAAAATGTTGTTTTCTGGCTATCTTGCATCCCAGAGTTCCTGGGTGATCTCAGCTTGGCCAGGCAGATCTATTCATACACTTGGCACTCACCTTTAATTCCAGCACTCTGGAAGCAGAATCAGGAGGATCTCTGTGAGTTGAAGGCCAACCTGGTTTACATAGTGAGTTCTAGGCCATCCAGGGTTATATGAAACCCTGTCTCAAAACAAACAAAAACGGGGGCTGTGCAGATGGCTCAGTGGTTAAGAACACTGGTTGCTCTTGCAGAGGACTTGGGTTTGGTTGCCAGCACCCATATGGCAGCTAACAATGATCCATAATTGCAGTTCAAGAGGAGCCAAGGCCCTCTTCTGGCCTCCGTAAGCATTGCACAACATGGGTGCACTTACATGCAGGCAAAATACTCAGACACATGAAATGAAAATAAAAACAATACTTTCAAGGCTGAACACATCTTGCAGCAGACTGGATCCAAGAAATAGGAAGTTCTAATTGATGGGGACTACCATTCTAGATTGTTCTCCTTTTAGCCCATCAATTGCGATAAATCATTCTTAAAAAAAACAAAACATTTTATTTTTATGAGTGTTTCACCTGCATGTATGTAAGCATACTTATGTCATTCAATGCCCATGGAGGCCAGAAGGGGGCATTGCATCACCTGGAACTGGAGTTACAGGCAGCTGCTGTTATCTGCCATGTGGGTGCTGGAAATCAAACTCAGGTCCTCTGCAAGAGCAGTCCATACTGTTAACTGCTGAGCCATCTCTCCAGTCCCAAGATAAATTATTCTTTCTTTTGAAATATCAAGTGATGTGGAGAGGGTCAGAGACATAAAGTCAGAAAAACAATAAAAAGAGAAGAAAAACATGTTTCTTCCTTTCCCAACTTTAAAAAAGTGATTTTTATTATTTTTAATTATGCGTATGTGCATGTAAGTACAGGTGCCCATAAGGCCAAAAGAGGGTGTCAGATTCCGCTGGAGCTGGAGTTACAGGTGTTTATGAACTTCCCCATGTGAGTAATGGGAACCAAACTCAGGTCCTCTGGAAGAGCAGCAAATACTCTTAACTGCTGAGCCATGTGACAAGCCCCCATCCCTCCCCTTTCTTTAACTGGATGTATGTGTGTGGGCATGCGTGTAGAACGCATAGGTGAGGTTGGAAGACAATTTGCAGTGATCAGTTCTCTTCTACCACATGGGTCCCAGGGATTGAACTCAGGTCATCAGCTTTGGCAGCAAGAACCTTTACCCAGTAAGCCATCTTGCTGGCCTTAAGCTGGCCTGGAACTCCTGATCCTCCTGTCTCCACCTCCCAAGTGCTGGGATTACAGGCGTGTGCCATTACATGCTTCCTTTCCAACAATGTATATGTCTTCTAAGGTATTGGGTTGAAGCTGTAGCTCAGTGGAAGAGTGATTGACTCTCATACATGGACCCTAGGTTCCATCCCAGTACCATGCACACACACACACACACACACACAGAGACTTATTTACTACATCATTTGGATTTCCAGTGTTTCTACTTACTTAACAAAAACAGTTCCAAATAAAACATATAACCAACATGGCACATATCAAGCAACAGGATATTGTTACATTTTCTGATATAGATTGTCCCTTGTTATTCAAAGTATTTTTCAAAATAATGATTAACACTGGTTATTATTCACTAGACTAAAACCCCATGAAAGCTTTGGACACATTTGGTTCACTGCTATCTAAGGAGTCATGTTGGTTAAAAGGCACTTTATAAATATTCACTGAGTGGCAGACAGGGTGGCATGCACCTGTAATCCCAGCTACCCAGGAGGTTAAGGCAAGAGGATCACTTGAGCCCAGAAGTTCAATATTGCCTGGGCAATATAACAAGACTCCATCTCAAAAAATACCAATCCAGGGGGCTGGAGAGATGGATCCATGATTAGGAGTGCTTGCTGCTTCTCAGGGGACTGCAGTTCGGTTCGCAGTACTGAAGTTAGGTGTCTCATGGCTACCTGTAACTCTAGGTTCAGGGGATCTGATGCCCTCTTCTGGGCTCCTTGGACACCTGCACATACATGACACAAACACGGGCACATAAATAAGCAAAATAAATAAATATTTATAAATTAATAAGCTAAACCAATCCTCAAAGGATAGACACAATGAGTTTAAGTCTTCCATGTTCTTAGTGATAGACTCCAAATTGTAGGCCATTTGGGAGTGACTACTCCATATTATACTATAAATGAAGACTTTCCCACATTTTAAAAGTACCCGAGGTTCCTATCTGTTGTGAATTCTTTTCTGGTGCCCATCAAGATATGTCTTGTCAGCAAAAGCTTTTCCACACTCAGAACATTTATAAGGTTTTTTCCCTGTATGGAGCTTCTTATGAAAATCAAGGTGTTCCTTCCGGCTGAAGGATTTCCCACATTCATTACATGTGTAGGCTCTCTCTCCGCTGTGAATTTTCTGATGGACATGGAGGTTTGACTTCAGAGAGAAGGCTTTCCCACATCTATCACATTCATAGGATTTTTCTCTGGTGTGGACTTTTTTATGTTGAGTAAGGTTTTTCTTCTGGACAAAAGACCTGTCACATAGATTACACTCATAAGCCCTTACCCCAGCATGGATTCTCTCATGATCAATGGCATTTGCTTTCTGAGCAAAAGCCTTCTCACAGAGCCTACATTTGTAGGGCTTCTCTCCCGTGTGTGTTCTCTGATGTTTCACAAGAGCAGACTTGCAAATGAAAGATTTTGTACAGTCCTTACATCTGTAAGGCTTTTGTTCCTTGTGAGTGTTCTTATGCTGACTAAAGGTTGAGTTTTGTTTGAAGGACTTGCCGCACACGTTGCACTCATAGGCTTTCTCATCCTTGTGAATTTTCTTATGATTACTGAGAGATGATACCCAGCAAAAGGCTTTACCACATGCCTGGCATTTATAGGGTTTCTCTTTTGTATGAATCTTCTGGTGTTGAATGAGATTGGTCTTCTGCCTGTAGGCCTTTCCACATACATCACAATTATAGACTTTTCTCTCTGGATGAGTTTTCTGATGTTTGTTCAGGTTCCAGAGCATTTTGAATGCTCTTCCACATTTATTGCACTTAAAGGATTTCTCCCTATCATGGATCCTCATATGTCTCTGAAGGCGTGGCTTTGAACTAAGCACCTTCCCACAGGCATTACATTCAAACTGCATTTCCATAGATTTGCATGAATTATGGCCAATTGGTTTTCTATATTCATGAGAATTGTTTTTTACACAGTGTTTCATATCTAAACTATGTCTCAAATGCCTTCCAAATAAATGACGCTCTGAAAGCCTGAATCTTGAAGGAACATGGACATTGCTTGGGAGAAACATTTCTTCAGGTGCAATGCCTTTTTGCTTAGTCAATGTTCTCCAGTGGATTGATGCAACTCCTCTCTTGAGACTCTTCTCCACATCCATGGGAGTCCCAACCTGCCTTTTAACATCTTGGACTTTTTCTGAAATGGATTACAGAGAAATGTCCTGTGAGAAACTTTCCACTCATGTGATTTAAAATGGAAATGCCATACATTGGGCTACATCAATATGGGTCACTTTGGTTTCGGGGTGACCTGAACTTCATCTAGCCTTAGGGAAGATGACTGAATCAGACGTGCTACCAGGGGCAATCATCATCAACATCATGCAGGAGTTATAAAAGGGGTGGGGGAGATGGCTCAACAATTAAGAATGAGTACTGCTCTTGCAGAGGACCCAAATTCAGCTACCAGGACCCAAGTGGGGTGGCTCACAACTGCCTGTAACTCCAGCCTCAGAGGAACTGACACCCTCTTCTAGCCTTTAGAGGTACCTACACTCTCATGCACGTAGCTACCCCCCCCACACACATAATAAAAATAAAATAAATCAGGGCTGCAGAGATGGCTCAGCAGTTAAGAGCACTTGCTGCTCTTTCAGGGGACCCGGGTTCAGTCCCCGGTACTCCTATCAGGCAGCTCACAACTGCCTGTCACTCCACCTGTTTGCAAACAACTAGAATGCTGTATAACCCCTGTTGTCTTAGCTTGAGAAAAATAGTATCCTAAATCTGATAGCGGCTTATAGTCATTTGTGGGTTATCAGCAATATCTACGTTCTGATTATCTTCCTCAACCATCAACTTCTGTATTTACGACTGATTCTGTATTTATCAGTTTATTCTTCAGGTCTATATTTACTGTTCCTTCTACACGGTGCTATGGTTTGTGTATGGGGTGAATTCCCCCCACAGGCTAATGTGCTGAAGGCCTGGTCCCCAGGTCGTGCTATTTTAGGAGGTTCTGGAACATTTAGGTTAGGGCCTAGTTGGAGGAGGTAAGTCCATGAGTTTGGTTGTACCTTTGAAAGTCATACCTGGACCTGTCTCTTTCTCACTCTCTGCTTCCTGTCTGCCACAAAGTCAAGAATCTTTTCTGGGGAGCTGGAGAGACAGTTCAGCAGTTAAAGGGCATTGGCTGCTCTTGCAGAGGACTTAGGTTCAATTCCCAGCACCCATGGCAGCTAACAACCATCCATAATTTGAGTTGCAGGGGATCCAATGCCTTCTTTCGGCCTCTGTGAGCACTACATGTATGTGGTACACTTACATACATGCAGGCAAAACACACACATAAAAATAAATAAATAAATAAATAAACAAACAAACATTTTTTAAAAATATAAAGGCCAGGTGTAGTGGCACATGCCTTTAATCCCAGCACTCAGGAGGCAGAAGTAGGTGGATCTCTGTGAGATCAAGGCCAATGTGGTCAACATAGTGAGTTCTAGGCCAGATGGTGCTATAGGCCAGATGGTGCCATAGGAAGACACTGTCTCAAACAAAACAAAACAAAATGAAACAAACAGAACAGAACCCCCTCTGTCAGAATCCCAATGCCCGTATGTTCTGCTTTGCCACAGGCCCAGAGTCAAGAGTCAAGGATTCTAAACTAAAACTTCCGAAACCAGAAAGTAAACTAAATCTTTTGCTCCTTTTGTTTCTGAAAGGTATTTAGTCACAGAAATCACAAAACTAGTGCTGGCAGGATGGCTCAGTGGGTAAAGGTACCTGCTGCCAAGCCTGATAGTCTGACTTGGATCCCCAGGACTCACATGGTGGAAAGAGAAGACGAACTCCTCCAAATTGTCCTCTGACCTCCACACTCAAACCACAGCACAGTCATACGGGCACACACACACACACACACACACACACACACATACACACACACACACACACACACACACACACGACATAATTAAAATCATAAATAATCATAAAAAAAATACAATGTCCAAATATAAAAGACGTCTCAATAACAGGGCTCTGTGAACAAAACCATTATTGAAGAGAATATGGGCAGGAAATTTATATGCATTAGGAGGAACAAGTATAAAAAATGCAAAAGTAGGTTTTTTTTGAGTCAGGGTCTCACTATGACCCCAAGGTGGTCTCAGTCTTACAATCGTACTTCTTACTCAGACAGCCTTTGTGGCCACAGTTTGTACTGCCAACGACAACATACCAGCAACTGTCCCATGTACAGCGGCATTACAGCAGCAGGTCTGTATGACAGTGGTGCTATTACTATAATAGCTAGATAACTAAAGGAAATGGCCAAACTGACTCCATCTTACTCTGGCTGACTTTTGCCCTCCATGTTTCTGCCCAGCCCCCACCCCTCATTAACTGCAGCCAGCCAGGCAGAACAGCCACCAAGGCCAAGCACCTGCATTTCAAAAGTGTATTGTTTGTATAACTGGGAAACTTACAACCAGCCAGGCAAAACATTCTCTCCCAGCTACACCTGCATCTCCAGGGAGCCACTGTTTCTGCAATTCTGAGAAACCCTGAAACTTAGAAACTTTTTGTTAACTGAAAACCACTTTGTTAACTGACCTCCCCTGGTCTTGTGTAACTATGGTGATCTGATGTAACTATGGTTATTGGCTTTGCCCCTGGAATGATGTAATTGTGGTTTTAAGCTTTATAAACTCTGCTCTGCCTCTCCTTGGAGTTGAGAGTTCTTTTGGGAGTTAGGCCCCTCTCAACCTTCAGCTAATTATTAAAGGGACTCTTACTTCAACCATCACTATGTGGTGTTCCTCCATGCCCCACATTCACTATTACATTAAAATACCACTCAAGGGGCTGGAGAGATGGCTGGGCGGCGGTTAAGAACACTGGTTGTTCTTGCAGAAGATCTAGGTTCGAATCCCAGCACCCACATGGCAGCTAACAACTATCTGTAACTCCAGTACCAAGGGATCCGACAGCCTCTTCTGACCTCCACAGGCATTGCACGACATGGGTGCACTTACCTACCTGCATACACATAAAATTAAAAAAGTAAAATATTTAAAAAACTTAAAATATGCAAAATTAAGATAAAAATCAAGTGTGTGAGGTTTTGCATGTAAGTATGTATGGAAGGGGGGAGGGATTATGTGAGTGTGCAACTGTGGTATCTGTGTGTGTGCATGGGTGTGTGTATGTGTGTGTCATATGTGATTGGTTTGGAGGTAGTAAATGTTAGGAAAGGTACAGTTTCAAGGATATACCTCAGCAGTCTAACCACGCACAAAGAAACGCTTTGTCTTCTTGGAGGGGGATAAACTTTTCAGTAACCAAGGGAGAAGAACCTTACTCACAAACCTTAGAGGCCCTGCTCCCAGGGTACATATGGCCAACAGTGAGGGCTTTTTAAAGTTATCACTGGCAAGTCAGGTTTGGTGACAAACACCTATAATCCCAGCGTTTGAGAGGTGGAGGCAGGAGGATTCTGAGCTGGAGACCAGTCTGGGCCACATAGTGAGACCCTGTCTAAAAGGAAGAAAGCTAAATGTGGTGGCACATGCCTTCAATCCCAGCACTTAGGAAGCAGAGGCAGGCAGATCTCTGTGAGATCAAGGCCAGACTGGTCTACATAGAAAGTTCCAGGTCAGCTGGGGCTATAGAGAAAGACCCTGTCTCAAAAAGACAAAAAAATAACAGACTGTCTACAGTGTGTAAAGCACTTGGCAGCAAGCTTGAGTCTGATCTTCAGGTCTCACATGGTGGAAGGAGGTATCGACTACAGCAAGATGTCCTGACTTCTACCTGCATGTCCTGGCACATGCAGGAAGCCCCCTCTCCCAAGAAATAAATGTAGGGGCTGAAGAGATGACTCAGCAGTTAAGAGCATTTGTTGCTCTTGTAGAACACCTGGCGATTGGTTCTCAGCATCCACATGGTGGCTCACAACCTTCTGTAGCTCCAATTCCAGGGGATCCACCACCCTCTTCTGGCCTCTGAGGGCAGAGGCACCCAGATGGTGTATACACATACATGAAGGCAAACCACTCATACACATAAAGGAAAAGTTAATTTAAAAATATAGACCCTGACTGGGCATGGTGGCACACACCTTTAGTCCCAGCGCTCGGGAGGCAGAAGCAGGTGGATCTCTGTGAGTTCGAGACCAGCCTGGTCTACATAGTGAGTTCAGGCCAGATGGGACTACAGGGAGCCCCTGTCTCAAAACAAACAAACAAACAAACAAATAAACAAAATATACATAGACCCTGTCTCAAAATCAACCAGGGGCTGGAGCGATGGCTCGGTGGTTAAGACAGCCGGATGTACTTCCAAAGGACAGTGCACTTCCCAGCATCCACATCAGGAAGCTCACAATCATCTATAATTCGAGCTCCAGGGGATCTGATGCCCTCTTGTGGTCTCCATGGACACCAGCACACACACGGGGCCTGCACTTACACCCACAGAAATAAACATTAAAAAAACTTTGGGTTTTTTTGGTCTTTTTTTGAGACATGCTCTCCCTGTAGCCCCAGTTGACCTGGAACTCACTATGTAGACCAGGCTGGCCTGCCACTGCCTCCCAAGTGCTGGGATTAAAGGTGCATGCCACCACGCCTGGCAATAAATAAAAACTTTTTTTTTTTTTTCGGTCTCCCTGTAGCCACAGCTGGCTTGGTACTTGCTATGTAGACCAGGCTAACCTCAATCTCACAAATATCCACCTGCCTCAGCTTCCTGAGTGCTGGGATTAAAGGTGTGCAGTGTGCACCACCATGCCCAACACAAACATAAACCTTTAATAATTTTTAATTATTATTTTTATTTTATATGTATGAGTGTATTGCCTGCATGTATGTAAGTGTACTTGTGTTCTACAGTGCTTTGGAGGTCAGAAGAAGGCATTAGATTCCCCTGGAAATGCAGTTATGGGTAGTTGTTAGCCACCATGTAGGCGCTGGGAATTGAACCCAGGTCCATGGCAAGAATAGTCAGTGTTTTTAACCACTGAGCCATCTCTCCAGCCCCTCAAACATGAAACTTTATAAACAATAACAACAACAAAAAGGGTTTCTGAGATGGCTCAGTGGGTAAAGAACTCAGGAACTCAGTTCGATGCACAGAACTCACATAAAGCCTGATGTGGTAGTGCACATCTGTTTGTTTTGTTTGAGACAGGGTCTCCCTATAGAGCCCTGGCTAGGTAGACCAGGTTGGCCTCCAACTCACAGAAATCTGCCTTCCTCTGCCTCCTGAGTGCTGGGATTAAGGACAGGCACCCCCAAGCCCAGCAACAGTACACATCTGTAATCCTAGGGAGGCAGAAACAGGAGACTCTCCAAAGGCTCTCAGGCCAGTGAGCCAGGTGTATTCAGTGGCAGATGAGAGACCCTGTCTCAAACAAGGGGGAAGAGGGGATAGAAACCTAACATTTTCTGACCTACATCTGCACACTGTGGCACATGTATGTCCCATTCCCCAAGAGAAAAAAGAAAAACCTAAAACCTAGCACCGCTTACCTCTCTTGCCTCTTCCTAATCCTAGCTCAACTAAAACATATGTACATTGAAAAGCATCCCACTTGCCCTTACAGGGCACTTGCGTATTTCAGACTTCAGGCAGTCACTCCCCCACAGAGCCGTCCTCCCCCACAGAGCCGTCCTTACCCACAGAGCCATCCTCACCCACAGAGCCGTCCTCCCCCACAGAGCCGTCCTCACCCACAGAGCCGTCCTCCCCCACAGAGCCGTCCTCACCCACAGAGCCGTCCTCCCCCACAGAGCCATCCTCACCCACAGAGCCATCCTCCCCCACAGAGCCATTCTCACCCACAGAGCCGTCCTCCCCCACAGAGCCCTCCTCCCCCACAGAGCCGTCCTTACCCTCAGAGCCGTCCTCCCCCACAGAGCCGTCCTCCCCCACAGAGCCCTCCTCACCCACAGAGCCATCCTCCCCCACAGAACCATCCTCACCCACAGAGCCGTCCTCACCCACAGAGACCAGGTTGCTGTAGTTCTCCAACATCACATCCTTGTACAGGTTTCTCTGTTCAGGATTCAGTCCTTGCCACTCCTCTGGGGTGAAGTTCACAGTGACGTCCTCGAAGGTCACTCTCCCCTGTATGTATAAAGATGCTACTGAAGCTGGAGGTGGCTCACATCTGTAATTTCAGCATTTGGAAGGCTGAGGAGGAAGACTGCCATGAGTTTGAAACACTCTGTGCTACAATACTGAGTTCCAGGCCAGCATGAGCTACAGTGGAAGACCCTGTCTGAAAATGACAACAGAAAGATGCCACTGATGGGGCCTGGAGAGATGGCTCAGCAGTTAAAAGCACTGGCTACTCTTGCAGAGGACCCGGGTTCCATTCCCAGCACCCACATGGTGGCTAACAACCATCCATAACTCCAATTCCAGGGGATCCAACACCCTCTTCTGTCCTCCTCAGGCACTGCACAACATAGGTGCACTTACATACATGCAGGTACAACACTCATACACATAAAATAAAAAAGAAAATAAAAAAAGAAAGATGCCACTGAATCCAGAGGTCTAGGAATATAGAACTTGTTCCCCCTGAGTCTTAATCCTATGTAGAGTACACTGAATACTCTACTTTAGGAGAAAATAAATTGTACCTTTAAATATTTGGGAATCAAACCATAAGCCTGAGGTTTATTCATGTTTAACCATCTCAAAAAAAAAGACACCAGTTATTTTATATTATGATTATACATTTGGAGATAAACAGTGGACCAGGTTGGCAGAGGCAGTGGTCAAAAGATTTTTAGCTTGCTAGGCATGGTGGTGCATGCCTGTAATCCCACACTCGGGAGGCAGAGGCAGGTGGATGTATGTGAGTTTGAGGCCAGTCTATCTACACAGTGAGTTCCAGACCAGCCAGGGATATACAGTGAGATTCTATTCCCCCCAAATAATAAATACGTAGATGGATGGATGGATGGATGGATGGATGGATGGATGGATGGAT